ATGAAAACTTTATCGTGCAAAATACAGAATACTTTAAGTTTTACAAATCATACATTTTTATATGTTTTTCCTTCTTCTGTACTTATATTATGACTTTAAAATTGTCAGGAAAGCAGTTGTGTCATTCGTTTCATCGGAAGTAAAACACTCAATTATGTTTAATGCCTTTATAATAACAATAAGTTCTACATAAAACATAATAGTTCAAATAAATAGATTCAATGTATGTAATGTGTTATAAATAAAATTTCCCGTCGTTCATAAAAAAATTCTTATATTTAATATATTCATCATATTCAAAGTTATCTTGTAAATTATTCTTATACACTTATTACTTCCAGATTCCTGATTCATAACATCGACGTCATACTATTTTAGGATAATTTCAATTATGAATTCTAATAAAACTTTTACTACGAATATATTTATTTTTTACTTCAATTTAGTCGTTTTTCCCTATCTCAAAATAGGTGCAATGTGGGGAGGAAAAAAGTCTATCTGTTCGTTCTTTCTCTTATTAAACAAATAATTTTTAAAATGTATTTTCAATATTTATACAAATAGCTCAATTGTCATAATTATATTTTTCTAAATAATCACAAAAATTAGTATTATATTTTATAATTTTTCCTTTATCAATTTTTGGTGCTCTTTACAGCAAGGTAAATTGGGGAATTATTAATTCTGTTTAGTCCAAAAAATATGTGTAATAATAAATAATAATAAGCTTTACTATGAACCTTTTTTTTTTGTCCTTATAAATATAGAGAATATTCACATTCTCGTCTATTTAAATGCAAAAAATGTAATTATATCAATATATATAATTTTCATATGTGATAACTACATTAAATAAAGATATTCGTATGCTTTTGTTAACATATTAATGCAGCATTATTCTCATGATACACTAATATATCATACATTTGTATTAATTATACATAAAAAGCAAACAATTACTTATAGGAAGAAACTCTTTTTGATTAGCAAAAATTGTTCAATTTTACAACTATCACAATCAAAATGGAATAATTTTAATTATTCTTAAATGTGCTAAGGTAATTATTTTTGCTCAAAATATCAAATTAATATGGTACTCTATGGATCCATTAATAGGGTATAATAAATGAAATAACTTTTATTTACACATTGTACAAGTTTTAACATGTTCGTGTCTTTATTATATGTGTCTATTTATATATTATGTATACCAAAAGATCATATTATGATTATAGCAAATATATTTTAAAAAAATAAATGATATCTTGATTTTGAACTATACAGTTCTAGTATTTTTTATTTTTCTACAACCTTATTTTCACAAAATTCTCATATCAATTTTTTTTTTCTTCATTTTAAAATCAGATATATAAAAAATTTATAAAATCACAAAACATGTGGCGTAATCTAATAATGCGCTGTAGATTAATTTCATTTACTGTGTAAAAAGCATGACGCACGTTACAAAATATGATAGATTGTATTTTTTTAGTATTCAATACAGTGACAGTTCGTAATAAAGCATGGATCCTCTGCACTTAAAATTTGATATAGCAGAAAAAAAAACTTTTTTTAATTGTATTCATTCTTTTAAAATGTAGTATATTAAGTTTTAATGATTAATATTTTTTTATAGACATAAAATAAAGATTGTGAATAATAATTTGTAAAAAAAAAAAAAAAATAACATTTTTCTTCATTAGAAAAACATATAAAAATAATTGCTCAAATAGTAATTTTTCCTGAAACAACTATAATTGGAAAACATAAAATGGTGCAAAATTTTAAATACTTGCATTTAAAAGGCACTTAATATTATTGATCAATAAAACACATACTGCTTTTCTTTTTCAAAATATTTAATTCATTTCCTTTTCAATTAAAGATAAAAGCTCTAAATATATATTATAAATAAAATAATAAATATATTCATTATATTTGTTTTATTAAAGTGTGACTGTAATTAAGCATCCGCATTTTACGGTTTTAATAAAAAACAATATAAAATAATTTTGGTAGAAAATTTTAAGAACATTTTAGACATTATGTATATATAAATTAAGCACACAATTTTAACAGCTTTTTTTTAAAAAAAATTACCATAATTATTATTCATATATTAAATTGAATTCTATTTTTTTTTACATCGATGAGGTGAAGATAGATAAAATTTGAAGTGATATTTTATTCCATTTATGTCCTTTATATTTATAGTGTAAATCAAATTTCTCTTTAAATATAGAGTATAAATATATTATTTCTCTTATTATGCACTTTATATTATTTAAATATCTCTTAACATATTAATATGTTTGCCTTCATATATAATTGCTTATTAATCTTATTGCGATTTTGTTTGATGGCTTTTTATCATTTAACATTAATTTTGTCTATTGAGAAAATAATTAAAATGATTATGAAAAAATTAACAATGAAATCATTATAATTGTTGTGAGGTACATAAACATAAAATTTACAAAATATTTTCATTCCCTCATTATATGTATACAGAACAATATGAGGTTATTTAAAACCATCAAATTTTATAGGGAAAAAAAATGTTTTCTTCCGAAGTTTCAATAAAATTGTATAATAACTATTATTATACTTGGAAAAGATGAAGAGGTTTAATAAAATTATTGTTTTTATATTGTGAATTATAAAAAGATATTTTCTTTAATGAGTAGTAAAACCTTAATTGCATTAGGAAGAGTATGAAATAAACTTTTTTGCTCGATACATACGACTATAGCTGAATATGCATTTAATCAAAATTCCTTATTTAAGGAACTTATACACGACATTAAAAATGATCAGTTTCTTACCATAAATTAAAACTATTTAAAAACATAAAAAATATATATAGACAGATCATAAGATCTTTAAATGAATAGACACATTTATATAGCAGTGAAAACACAGAAAATATTTAAAAAGGAATCTAGCAAATTGAAGTACTTCTTTTTACATTATGGAATAAGACATATTACTTTAAATATAACTTATACTAATAACAAATATAGAAGAAATATATTAATATCACTAAATAATGAATGAACATATATGAAAACTAAGATAGTGAATTATTAACAATATACTATATTCTACTGAATGGAAACTATAAATAAATAATGAATAAATTGCTATTATTTCTCTACATAGTTAACGTATTAAAAGTAAAATAATATATTTCTTTTGCGAGATTTACTATATATGTCCGTTCTGTTATACTCAATGTAGAAAGCCAAAGAAGAGGAATTAATATTATTAACAATATAATCAAAAAAGGAATAGTAATATCACTGGATTGCAATAACTGTTAGTATAATAAATATCACTAAAAATAGATAATGATTAAACTCTTGTAAAACTTTAAAGAATGTTCAGCAAGTTAAGTAGTTCAAGATTATATAAATTAACATTATTATTATTACTATATATTAATAGGAAATTTATTGAAATATCATAAATATAAATGATTTTACACAGAAACATACAAATGATTATATAAAGAAAGTATAATATACTCTTTTAATGAATTATCTAATGGAAGTATACTTAATTTTAAATATATATTTTTAAAAATATTCTGCTTAAATATTTCAAATATAGCCTAAATATAATATATATAACATAAATATAAAAATTTTATATATGCATCAAAAAAATTAATAAATTGGTAGTTTTAAACAAAATAATAGTGTTCCCAGTTAGAACGAAAAAAAATAATAATCATTTAATATATTTTATTGAATATAAAAATTGTAAGAAAATTATTAGAATAATATAGTATGAACTCATTTTGTGTATTATCATTATAATCACAATATATTCTATTAGTACTCTCTACAATATTAATGTGTAATATTTATTTTTTATTGCTAAATATATAAAAAAAAAAATTTACATATATTAGCAGTTTTCAACAAATTGTATAGCCTGTTTATGATTTTATTTCTATTCATATTTCTTTGGAATTCATCTACATTATAACGTCTTAATTTTACCCTAAATAAAATTAATGACACTCAAAATATAAATACCGTGTCATCTAAAGGGTACACATATGTAAGTGGGAAGATATTTCTAGAAAAATAAATATAGCATATCCACACAGAAAAAATGTACTTTTATGATTTTCAGAATATATAACTTCTAATTTATTTTTAGTATTAAATAGGAAATTTAGTTATAAATAGTTTTTATTATAATAATATAAATCTTCTTTTAATAAAAATATTATATACTACTTATCTTTATATGCAGCATTAAAAATTCAAAATATATGAAGCTTAATAATAATGAAACAAATGTGTAAGTACGAAATATTTTACAGGAAATTATAAGTGCTCTACCTTTTAATAGTTGGATTATTTATATAAAAGAAATTAAGCTATAAAACAAAAATGGATATATAGGGAAATATATAGGTAATATTAAATATATAATTATTTTTACTATTAAAGTATAAAATGTATATGTTAAACATTTTCTAGAGGAATTTTAATTAGCTTCTAAGTGCCACTAAAAAGATAACTTTTATATTCATTATTTTAATTTATTTTGTGTGCAATGCATATAACACTTATATTTCTATGTATGTTTTACTACCTTTTAATGTTTATAATTAAGGTTTTCTATACCCCCTCATATATTATATATATTTAATGTATATCAATAATGCATATTCTTTGAGCATATATTTGCTAATTGAATTATTTTGTTGATATCAATAAAAAAAAAATTACATATGCAGATATTATTACTACAAATTATTCATATATTTGCTTTCAAAGCATCCTCATGACATCTTAAATAAATTAAACTATATCATTAATCAATATAATTATTTGTACTTCCCTAATTTTATTAATAAATTATCGTGATAGGAAAAATATTAAATTCTCGTTTGCAAATATACGTACTCATAATGATGATTTATTTTCTGGTATGATTTGTTTAAAGAATGTAAAAAGGAATATAATTATAATAGTAATTAAATGGAAGAAACCAAATATACAATTGTTGTTTACCATAATGACAATGAACAGATTATACTTGCAGGGTGTGATGATAAATATTTAGTATATTTATCACAATTTAGAGAAAAATGTAGTAGTTTTTATAAAAATAATTGTGCGCACATATGCAATGAACGTAATGAATTAAAAAAATATATATTCAAAATAAAAAGTAAGTGTCCTACGCAAATTTCTTCCTATTCTAATCTGCATGTAAAAAATGAGGGAAAGGATTTCTATGAAGGATGTACTAGTGAATGTAAATACAGTAAAAACACTCAATGTTATAATGAAGGATATGTTGTGCTAAAATCAGGCGAAGAACTATTATGTGAAGGAAACAACCTTAGTAAAGAAGAAACAGTTACAAAAGTTGAAAAGTCTAAGTTACAATCAATATTGGATTCACAGTTTTCGGAACCCCGAAGTTCAAAAAGTGATAATCACGAAAAACCAGATGAAAAGCCTACTGCCGTGATTGAATTCAAATCAGAATAAGAAAATCCAAACAAACAACAAGAAGCAAGGGATACAGATAATTTTGATAAGAATTAAGAATTATCTTCACCAGTGTATGATCATCATTCTACTAAACCTGTAAAATTGCAAACTACCCCCGAATCTTTGTCTGTCACAAGTAATTCAATAAATAATGCATTCGTTAACAATGAAAATAATGAATCTTCTGAAAAACCTCTGCCAAGGTATCGAATACAGGTATTACATAACAAGAGAGTAATTCGAATAAATATATAGCTTGAAGTATAATAAAAGTTCCTAAAAGTAATGCTCAGCTAATCAGTCTGAAAAAAAGTAATAATGCTGTTAAAGAAATCTCTAATATAATAACGGTTGTTTGCAAAACATTTTTTTCTACAGTTTTCACTAACATACCCTTTATTAAAATTGTTACTGATCGTGTAGATGCTAATACATAAGAAGGACCCCCAGAATATACTGGTAGCATATATGATGGATCTCAAGATAATAATAACCAATCTCCTTATAAAGAAGTTCCCAAAGGTAAGAATTCTAATGGTTTTTATACTAATTATGGAAAAACGGGTGTTACACATGCTATTACAGATATGATATCAATATTCGTATAAGTACTGTTGAAGAAGATACTCTTAAACAAGGTAGCTATGATAATGGTACTAATGAGAGATTTATTCGCAATAGCACACTTTTTGATGAAATGTATAGTTGTGCACATTAAAATATGAAATTTATCTTACATTTCTATGTCTTATAGCAGACATACTGAAATATCTAATGAAATTTTAGAAGTATCTTATGGTGATAATTCTCTTGTAACACATATAGTAGGAAGAGACAATGTTTTAGGTGTAACGTAGCCTGCAGATTTTACAGGTATCACTGGTAATGATGTTCTGGAAAGTGAAATTAGTGAAAATGACGATTGGATACCATATAAAAAATATATCATAATAGCTTTAGGGTCCTTGACAATTATTTTGTTAATGACAATACTTACAAAAATAAACTAAATTATGATATGATAAAAAAATTATTCATATGTTTTTACTTATTTACATGAATTAAATTGTAATTTTATAATTTTTTTTATTTTTTTTAGTATGTGCCTTTAAAAATACTCTTTACAAAGAAGAAGAAAAAAAAACGAAAACAAATGAATGGAAAAATGAAGATGGTACTATATGGACCTTCAGTTGCAAGCGAAAAAAATGCCCAATTTACATATAGCTAATTTAAATATTAAACATATCTATAAATAGTTATTTTTAAAAAATTGATAAATCAGTTTATTTTTAAACATTAAGTATATGTTAACTAATATATTTTTTTCTTAATATTTATTTAATTATTTTTTTTGTTTTAAATTGTAGTAGAACATTAAGACTATGTTTTTGAAATACATAATTATAAACATTTTGTGCTATACATTTAATTACAGTATGACAGTAAGGATAAAACATTACAAGAGAGTGCATTCTATTGATTTTTTTTGTTCAGTTTCTTATGCTATGAAATAGTTTTAGAATTTTTTAAAATAAAGTATTTCTTTTTTAGTAAATATATGTATATTTCGATTCAGATTGAATTCTAAATAACCTTTTTTTTATTTAGGGTTATTTTTTTATGTACAAAACTATGATGTAATAAAAAATATTTAGATACACACTTGAAAAATGTATTTTATACTACATTTTTTAAACTAAATAAAAATGCCTTATATTGTCAAAAATTATTTTTTTATAATACACAATTAAAGTTTTTCAAATAATTTTAATATATGGAAAAAATATAATTCCAATTCACAACTGATTATGAATTTAATATGATTGAACACTTCTGTCTTCATATAATGATAGTATAAGAACTATTTCTACAAAGAAGAAATCATTAAAATATATTTACAATTTCTTCAAAACTATTAATTCAATAATGAAATAAATACACAAATAAATCTGATACTGATATATATTATGCACGAGATTGATTTTATTTAAGACACATTTAAAAAATATATGAAAATTATGAAATAATCAAGTAAATGTAATATAATAAAAATGAAATTTAATTATAACAAATATAATGTATAAAATATGTTAAAGTGTAAAATTTAATATAAAAAGAATAGTTATTTACTCATATGTAATGTGAATTATTTAAAACTTAATTCGAGTTAAAAGAACATAAAAGTAAAAATAAAACTATGGGAATTCATGCAAGTTACTTTTTGATTATATACGATAAAACAGATATAAGAAAACAATACATTACAAAATTAATCATAAGGAATTATGAATTTTCTTCTTAAATAATGATTTGTACATTTATACCAAACATTTAGTTATGGTTTAAGAATTATAATAATGGAAATGGCTATATTTGATGCACTGATATATATAATATGCATACTGAGCCCTTTCTGTGTTATTTTTGAGTAATCCATTAAATTATATGAATTATTATTAGCAATGATAAATGCTTATATATTATTATACCTTAATTGGTATATCATTTTATGTAATAGATATATTTCTAATTTTCATTAATATTATAAAAAGCTTTGATTAATTTTTTGTGAAATAGTTTATAATGGTTTTTCCTGCTTTTATGGAAGTTATAATATAACTAGTGACACAAAAAAAGTAAACGTAGAAAAAACATATGGATTATGTTAATAATATGGATCCCATTTTTTATAAATAATACAAAAAATTATTAAAATCTTCATCGTAATATCCATGTATGCAAAAATAATTCCTAGAATTTTAACCTATGTATCATCATAAATATGTCATGTTTATATAAAGTACTTATTGTACATTTCTTGAAGTTTTAAGAATAGTATAAAAATATTCCATTCCTCAATGTTTCATTTTATAATGATTAAAAAATATATATTTTATATAATCATCATGAGTGCTTTATATATTCATTTAAAAATTTCAACCTCGGAGAATGCATTTTTTATATTACTAAATAATGCATTTTTTCCATAATTTAATGAAATTCCTCCCCTATAGTAAATATATTTATGTTGTTAATGTCATAAAACAATAAAATTATTTTTTTTACAGTATTATATATATGTTATTAATGTTAGAGAACGTTGCATATATTCTTTAAATAAAAGATTTTTAAATATTAATGAAGATAAAAATGATTCACATATTCTTGACTATATAAATACATATAATTATTGTATCACATGTATATTTTTAATTTATCCACTATAATTTGACATATCAAAAAATATGAACCTTTACTTTTTGTAATATATATAGACGTATAACGGATATTAGTATGGCTAAAAATATATATGTACAGAATTTTAAATAAAATTTTTCCGTTTATTTAGGCTTTCAGTACCTTTATAATAAAATACAACAAATAATATATCTATATAAAAATAATTATTCTTAAATAAAGAATAAATATGTCTGTAATAAATATGACATATAATTTTTTGAAAGCACATAATCTTATTCTTTACACATTTAGATTTTATGCTTCCAAAGTAAAATTAAACATTACAATAAATTAAGTAATATAAGTTCAGAATTTCAAAATTAGTTGGGATTTATTTTCTAATAAGCTTAATTATGTAACAAAAATTAAATATTAAGTATGTTTTATATATATCTAATTTTGAAGTTATATATTCACTATATATTTTTTTTTTTGGCTTATAATTTATTTATAATATAAAATATAGTTATTCATAAAAAAAATCTATATATTTTAATCATTAATATTTTTATTTTCTATAAATAATTATATTTTTATAAAAAAATATATTTTTTATAAATTATGTTATGGCTTATCATAATAATGTGATCCATGGTTTGTCATTTTTTTTTTTCTTTAATATTCATATTCTCAACATCACATAAAATTATATTTAAATAAATTCATATATAGTCAATTTTTTTATAATAATTTTTTCAATTTCCTATCTTTTTCTATATAATATAACCATTTGCAATTATATTCTTCTTCTAACACTTTTTTATAAGAACACTCCTTAGAAATTCAATATATGATATGCCTATGATGTATGAAGTTTTATAAATAGTAATATCATAGAAAAAAAAATTAATTCATAAAAAATAAAATCGAATTTAAAATTCAATTACATGCATATTTAGTTAAAAGCAAAATTTTTATTATTATAATGATTCCTATAAAATATATTAATATTGAAACAACATTGATTTCATAGAGCCTCAGAAAAAAATTTGAATAAATCAGTTTCAGTGCTCGTTGGTACTTAACAATAAATATATACAAAATATTATACATCAGTAATCGATTAATATATAATAATAAGAACATATATCCATTAAAGCATGAATCATTAAAAAATATAAAATTAATTCAAATTTTAAATCGAAAAAATATCTGTTATACTTTTTATATATTAAATTGCGTATTAAATCAGTATAAAGCTATTGATAAAATAGGTCCTACACATTAATTAATGTTTAATTTAAATCAAAACATATGTGAAGATATTCGTAGTATCTAATAATCTGTTTTTTCTCAATTTACAATAATTTATAGATTCTTTCTTTTACAAAATTATTATAAATAAAATTTTAAAATATAATTTTATTTAAAAATACTTTTTCATATAGCTAATTATAATATCTTTATATATCATATTAATTCCTGAATAATGCTTCAATATGTACTTAGACAATAGACCATTCAACTCAAATGAATAGAAGAAAAAGGAATATATATTTTTTACTTTATATAATCGCCTAAAAAAAATTTATATACAAAAAGGTATATCAGTATATATTTTGCAGGAATGCAAAAAAAAAATATGACAACATATACTAAGAAAAGATAACCTTTGTTATTTTTTTACAGTATCACATAAATTATTATTAGCATGCATAATATATTTATATATATATATATTTATTTATCTATGAATATTTTTTATTACAAAAAATACAAAAATGATAATATGATTTTTTAAAAAAAGAAATATACTTATGTGGAATATATCTAATAAAAATATGAAATAAAAATCTATAGCAATAAATATTCTAATATAGTGCAGAATAGCGCTAATTATTATAAATTGTAAAAATATGTTTTAAAAAATTTCGTTTTAGTAAAATAAAATATAAATATATATATTATAAATGTAATAAATATTACCAATGTCACATGCAATTATGTATATGTTTTACTAGTATACATTATATATTTATAAAATATGTAAATATATAATATATCTAACTGAAAAAATTATAAAATATATGTCCTCTATATGAATATCATGATGTAATAGGAGTAAAAAAATTTAATATATGTACTATTATGAAAAATTATATAACCATTTCTCATAGAAGATTACTTCAATGAATACATAAAATGTCATATTTAATAATAAAAGCTAGATTTTCAAACATTACGTATATGTCTCTAATATATTTTATGTTAAGTTATATATAAGATTATGTAATTTTCTGTAATAAATAGTAATATATAAATATATATACTCAAATGTATGATTGACCCTAGCATGATGTAATTTCATTCTTTATATGGTATTAATATAATAATATTATTTTTTTAAAATAAAAACTCTTTTATTACGTTTTTAGAATATATATTTACAATTTTTTAATTAAGTAGTAAATATTTCTTCTTTATTTTGGGGATCATTAATTAAATAATATATATCTTCAAATAGATAATACCATATATTTAACTTAAAAAAAAGATAATGATCAATTATGTTGATCGTATTATTGCATAATTTTTATATTTATTAAAAATAGTGAGAACTATATTCTATATATAATGTTATTAGTTTTAAATAATTATATATATTTTTTTTCATTAATTTTTTTATCTTAACCAAATTTAGTATATAATTTTAGGTAGATGTGGTCTAATATTGTATGTTTGTGTTAATATAATATTAAATTTGCAGCTATAATAGTGTATTCACTTTTTCATATTTATTATAAAAATTACTTTTTCTTATATAATTTTTTTTCATAATGAGGCTTTTTTTTATTTTTAGTATGAATATATAAGTTACTTCCCTGGATGTCAAAAGGAGCTAGAAGATCAAAAACGAATAATGAGTACAAGTTACGAAGGAGAATGTAAACCTATTATGGGAAAATATTTATCAAGTATTAATTCGGATGATATTAACATTTGCACAACAGCTATGTCATATATATATAATTTTTCTCGTACTCACGGTGCTATTTCTGAACGTATCCATTGTTTATACCTGTATTATTGGATATATCATGAATTTAAAAAAAAAGGTAAAAGTTCCGATACCAAAAATCTTTATGAAGAATTTTTGAATCATTTGAAAAAATATTCCATACATAACCAATGTAAATCATATTGGGATAATATTACTTCCTATGATCATTTTGAAAAAGTCAAATATTTATATGAAACATCTCTATGTCTAAAAACAATAAAACACGATGGAGAAGTAATTGAAGACATGGATTTTTGTAATGAATTAAAAAATATTATAAAAAAATATAACGATAAAAATATATCTGAATTATGTAAAAGTGATAAACAAGAAATTTCATTCTCTAGGCAAACTAATAACAAAAATATTATTATAATTTCAATTCTCCTTACATTCGTAGTATTACTGTTGTTATTTATTGTCCTTAAGGTTAGTTATGATGTTATTCCTATATATTTTTAGTGTAAAATAAAAATAGTAAATTATATATAATAAAACATATTAATCATAATAATAATATATGTTTTTATAAATATATTTTCTTTTTTCAAATGAAATAGTATACCTCATTTCTTACATGCTTGCTCTATAAATTAAAACGTAAAATAAGTGAATTCAAAAATAAAGATGAAGAACTATATGTGTTAGATCAATATGAAGACTTTAATAGTATATCAATGAATAATGGATATAATATAGACTATAGTTCAGATTAATTTAGAAAAAATATATTTCATAAAATTCAAATTATTCTAAATATAATAAAAAGGAAATAATTTTATTTATATAATAAACGAAAAGAAAAATAAATTTATAAATTTCATGAGGAAATAGTTATCAATATAATATATGTGGTTATAAAAATGTTATTTCCAAATTTATAGAATTAAATATCAGAATTACGGATTTAATTGAAAATTTAATATCAATGACGCATGATTATGTTTATATAATTATGATTTTCTATATATTGATGAATTCTAAGGTACATAATATTTATACATTATTGTATATTCATGTTTCTGTGTCCTCTAGTTTCTAGGATTTAGTAAACAACCTTTTATATTACAATGTTACTATATTCACTTATTAAATTTATATATAATAATTTATATTATCTAATATTTGCTACTATATTCTCACAAAATATGTAATATATATAGTATTACTGTAATTTTATCATTAATTTAATATATATATGAATCAAAAGAATGCATAATTTTAAAATATAATATAATTATAGACGTACAAGGCAGATATAAGCATGCATATATATTTAAATTACATATTACCATTTTAAATATTATATAAATATCATTCATGTTTTTCGTTTATTATAAATTTTTCATTTTTGTTTTATTGCAATAAATTTATAAAATTATTTTTAGAATTAATAATTTATAGAATATAATGTGTTTGTTTATATTGTACATTTAATTGATAATAAGTAAATTAAATTTTATATCTTTTGTTAAGCTTCTTTTTATTTTAGTTCTTGTATATCTAAATAATTAGGTATATATTTCTAAGAACTATAAGTAAACAATTTCTCTATTATAACGGAATAATACAAGTGAAATATGTTTCATTTAATAAATCAAATTATATGGTGAATATATTGAATATAAAAGTGGCCCATTAATATAATTACTTTTTATCATAATTTTACATTTAAAATCTAAAATTAAATTTATAAATTAATTTAAAACTATATATACAAATTTATAACCGATTATTATTCTACATGATAATTCATAATGATTTATATATTATTCGTGATATTTTTTATAAATCCATGCACACTTTTATCAATTATATATCACTATAAATTATTTTGTATAAATGAACATTAAGAAATTATTAAATTTGAAAATGTATGATAATTTTACAATATTATCATAAGTGTGTATCTTTCATACACCCATTAATGGAAACGAAATAGTATATTTCATTATTTTGGAGTAAAGGTTATAGTTAAAATATATAATCTCAAGAAAAAACTTAATAAGTATTATTTTTTTTTCTTATTGATATAAACATTACTAATATTAATTTCAAAAAATCTGTATATAAATGAATACCCTTTATTTAATATAATGAAATGTGAATATAATGTGCTTTTAAATGTAATTCATATTAAGTGTTATTGAAAAGTAAAATGAAAGTCACAATATATTTAAATGCGTCTTGTGTACTGTATTAATTTATTTATTTATAAAAACATTAATATATTAATGTACAAAAATCATAAAAAACAATATAATTATATTATCTATAATAAAAATCAATATATTAATTAGAAAAATGTAATTATTATGATATATATCATAATTTAATTTTTTATTAATTAAAGACAATATTTTCATTATGTTATAGTGTATGTATATATATAATATAATTTATCTAGTAATAAACATTTATATATTTTATCACTTATAAATTTGGAAAAAGTTGTAGTATAATTTTCCATGCTTTAGTAATCTTTATTTTTCTCTTATTTTTCGTCTAAGGATATACATAATTTCGAATAATATAAAGTTAATTGTATTTTTTGGTTCTTCTATATCTCAGAAGTTTTCCTACTTCATTCATTTTGCCATAAATACTATAGAATACATATTGCAAAATATTATTATTAAAAAAATAATAGATGAGAAAAGAGATAATTATTTTATTTTAAAATGGATTGATATGTTTTCCATAACACAAGGAATATATCTATAAAATGTAAAAATATTTATATATATAATATTTCAACCTTAATATTCATCTTATGATATATATTAAATTTTATACAATATTACATGTTTTATATATAGTACTCATAGGACATAATAAAATTTATATAATTTACTATAATTATTTTATTAAAATCAATCATTTTATACGTAAGAATAATAAGGTTACTAATAATTCATCAATTATAATTAATATTCACACCTGAATACATGTAAAAAATACGCATGTTTGTTATATGTACACACATATCAATACATTCATAAACAATCAAATAAATAAAAATATTTCATAAGAAGAAATTATTTATTTTAAAAAAATACATCCATACAATTAATATTGTGAATAATTATACTATAACAATAGCTTTATGTGTATAACATGATAAAAATAGAATTATTCAATGTAAAATATAATTATATTAAATTAAAGAACCATTTGTTAAAGTGATATTTTATATGATAAACAGGAATTTTTTTATTCCCCCTAAATAACATTATTACACATTTTAAAATATTTTGTGTAATTTATTAAAAATATATATTTCAAGAGTTGTTCTAAAATATAAAAAATAATGGAAATACCATGAATTTAAGGTTTTTGCTCATATTTATTGCAAGAACATATACAATAAAAAATAAAAAGTATTTTTTTTTCCTACTTCACTAGCAAAATGACATAATATATGGCACTAAGGTATGAATAAAAATGAAAATTTTTATTAATTGTTAAATTTATTATTTATATTAATTCTAAATAATATTAATATAAACTATCATATATAATAAAAAATAATATATATATTATAAGTAATTTATTTATTAATAATATTTTCATTTTTGTATGTATTTTAATGATGTATTTCCACATTGACCCAATAAATATAAGGAAACTAAATACTTTTGTAATATTTATAAACATTATGATACTCTTAATAGAATCATAGAAGATGTTTAAAATGAATTTTTTTAACGTATGCCTATGTAATGAATGTTTATTTTTAAACAATTTTAACATAAGTTAAATTTAAATTATATCCGAAAAATAAATAACGCGTAAAATGTTATAGGAAATTGCAAATGTGTTCTCTAAAATACATTAAATGAACTCAAACATTTTATTATTGTATCTAAATATATTGTTATTTTTTCCAATAGTTTATTCTTTTAGGACTTCTGTAAATATTATATGTTTTAAAGTTTAATATTTTAAGTTTTAGATATATATTTATCAGTTTGTGATCAGATTCCGGAATTTTATTAAATATTTTTTTTTATGGATGTATGGCTGATTATTTAATGATTATTCTATGGGCACACCTGTTAAATTTATATAATCGCTTTTCAAATACATCAATATATATGTTATAAAATATTTCTTCCTTATATTTTATATATATTATAACATTATATTTTCTACTGTAATGTAAAAATGTATTAATTTTTTTATTATAATATCATAAAATAGAAACATAAAGAAATGAAATTAATTATATCCTATTACTTACAATAGAGGTATTATTATATTTTTGTATTCGCTCTTACATTGCATATATATATAGTGTATATCATAGTATAATTATAAAAAAAAGAAAAATATTTATAATATAACTATATTTTTATGTATATAATAAAATAATTTTTTTTATTTTATTCATTTTACATTTATTAATGTTTAACATGTATTATAATGAATATATTTTTATTTTTATCTAATATATTATATCCTATGAATTAATATTGTAATCTAATATTTATGTTGTAATAAAAACTATAATATATGGAACATACCCTTAATTATAATACGTAGAATTAGTTTGTTGTTTATATTAATATAATAATGACATCCTAAATACACAACAGTATATTTAAAAAGCTTAAAGCGTGTTAATTTATGTATGTGGATATATTTTTATATATTATTTTTTTACTTTAATATTGATTAAAGCGTAATATATTATTTTTCATTTATAAATATATTTCCTTTAATATATACCAAGTATTATTTTATATTGTAAAAAACTTCTTATATGTGGATCATAACTATTTTTTAACTTATTTGACTTTTAATTACATTTATATGCCTATAAAAATGATAAAATTAATTTTTAATTTTTATAACTGAATTTTTCTACTTTATTTTCCTTTTTTATAATTAGGTGTTGATACAATTTCTAAAAAGGGTAAATAAAATAATTTAATAAAAAAATTAACGATTTAGTATATGAGTTCTATATTCTAATGAATTAAAAGGAATATAATAGTAAAATATAATATATATATTTTTATCCATACAGTAATTATTATATCTACTTTATTGGTGATGTATATAAATATATTTTTTTTCCAAAAAAAATACTACATTTAAGTAGAAATAATAATAAATATAGGTTATATTTTTAGAAATATAATGATAGATAATTACAATGATCCTATTATACAGCATAATAAACATATATGTGTATTAAAAACATACATTAAATGTAATGATTAGGAGTGAATTTATATAGACCCAGTTAAATATTAAATTAAATTAAGTTCCACTAAGTGCATTTATTTCTATAAATCAATAATTTAAACATTAATATCACAAATGTATTCATCGTAAGATCTAGGAAACATGAGACATTTTATTATGTATATTTCCATAATTATATTGTGCTTAAGTAAATATTTTTATGATATAGAATATGAGTATTTTATGTCATTGGTATATATTATTTATGTGGATAATATTTATAATATGAATAAAGAAAACGAATTAAAAAATTAAAATTTTTCCAATTTTATAAATCACCTATATTTCAGAAGCTATAATTATATTAAGTTTTACATATCACTAAACTATAATACACTTTCGTACATTTTAACATGAATGTATATTTTCTATTAAAATGTAAATCGTAAAAAATTAAGTATTATATTTAGGCTGAATTCATAGAGTAATATAATTAAGGAGAACAAATTAATTTAAATGGATT